GAATAGGTGAACCTGTTTACTCTTATTAAGAAAAAAATAAATAAATAATATAAATTTCAGAGTTTAGGCAGAGGTATTAGAAGTATAAATTTGAAATAGAATTTAGAAGGAACCAGAAATCCAATCCAAAACAGGAAAGAGATAAACCTCTACTCCTGTTCAAAAGACACTGGATAATATTATTAATAAAAATAAAAATAAAAAATAAATAGTATAAATTTCAGAGTTTAGGTGGCAACATTATAAATATAGAATAAATGTAGAATTTGGAATATGAATTTTAATTGTATTAAATTTTTATTGATATCAATAACAATGCTTAAAATCATAAAAAATTCTCTTGCTATTGATATAACAAAAACGTTGCATTTATTTTAGTATCAATAAATTCTTATTTAACAACAATTAAAATCCTGTTTTATGAAAGGGTACTAAAAAAATTAAAATGTTATATTTATTAATATGATCAGATTTTGAGAAGTGGGTCAGGCTAAGAGCTTTTTAGCAGATACTCATTTATTCAAAAGGGAATAAACAGAAAAGACTAGAATTGAAATGTAAAAAGCATTATAGTTGATTTATAATAGATTTTTGAGTATCTTTTTTTTTTACAATTTGTTAAAATTATTGATTTTACATTTAATTTTTTCTCATGGCTTAATGTTTTCCAAATATAAATAAACCTACAATTTCTCCTAATAAAATTAATACCTTATATTAGTTGAAGTGAACACTTTTGTACACAAAATTTTTAAAAAATTCCTTTTTCTACTGATTAATAAAAAAAACATTATAGGATGTTAACTTCATTATAGTATAAACAAATTACAAAATTGAAAAAATTCAATTTACATAAACTACAATATCTCAGATTAAATTCTGAAATAATTTTGCATTCAAAAAGAATAAAATATTTTTCCAAAAAAGATTAGAAAAATTGAAATGTAAAATTATTGAAGTCAACTTGCAATAAAAGTTTTCATTTATGTTTTTTTTTTTTTTACAATTTGTTGAAATTATTATTAGCAATTTATATTTCGTAATTTATTATTAGTTCTGCATAAAGATTATTTTAATTTGATTAAATGTTTTCCCCAAGAGGAAAAAACAGGTATCTGCATCATACACCACGCCTTCTTTTTAAATTAAATATATACTTTTTATGTTCCATGTCCCTTCAGGACATGAGTAATCATGCTCATCTACAACTTCTTATCCCTTGAAGCTTTAAATAATGCCCCCCCCTTACAGTCCCTTCCGCCACCTATTCTGCCATCCATTTACACAAGTTTTTTTAGGTAAGTTATTCAGTTTTCCTCTGCCCCTCCTTCCTTTGATATGTCTTGTGAGTCTCAAATTCTCCATAACCTCTTTCTGTGTCCCGAATATTTCAACTGTCTCTTTTTGATTCAAAATGTGTCATTTTTGTTTTCATTTTCCTTAAAGTTTTCCTATTGCTCACAAGATCAGTTGATAGTATTTTCAGCAGCTTTCTGTAGAATCATTTCTGTGTAACCTCAAGAGTTTCCTCTTCAGGAAAATTGTCCAGCATTCACTGCTATATAAAAGGAGTGATATCAGTAATATTACATATAATATTAATTTAAGTTTTGAATTGAATTCTGATATATTTTAGTCATGCTTTGATCATGGTTATGTTTTCTACTTATACATCATTTTTTTCTAAATTGTTCTTTTTACTGCTCTTTGTTTTCTAATAATAACAACTATAATAATCACTATATGAAAATAAAATTTCAGAAATCTTATCTCAGATAAGAACGTTATATAAATTTATTCTACTTCTTTCCCAACAGTTACGAAAAATATTAATGCAGTTTCAATTTTTGAATTTCTTCAAACAGCAAATTGACTTTTATTTATATTACTTTATTTTTATTTAAAGCTACAGGTTGGGAGGAAAGTAACACCCTATTTAAAATTGATAATAACTTTATTAATTTTTGGTTGATTTTAATAAAACATGTTTTATTTTTTGCAGTATAATCATAGAAGTACAGTACAGTGTTAAAATTCTACCTTTTGCCCATTCTCTTCCAATCTGGATGTCAAAGGATGACCGCTTCTGTGGATATCTACCACAGATCTTATACTCAAATTTTTCTTTCTTTTAATCATTTCACCCCAAGCAAGGCAATAAAGCCACTAAGATGTAAGGGTTACTGAGTGTGAAAGAGTATAAGTAAAACATTATTAAGGAGCGAGAACAATAAACAAACAGGAATTAAGAAGAGAGAAGATAACAATTGACATTGCATTTAAATTTTTGAAGATCAAACTTGACTGGGAAGCAGGAAGCTAGAAGAAAATTCCACAGGCAAGAAGTGCAAGAAAAAAACTGTTAGCATAGAACTTACAGTTACATTTAACCATTTTAATTCTAAAATGATGAGATCTTGCTGCCAATCTAGTACTGAATGATAACTTTTTATGGTTTTGTCATCTCCTGAAGCATAAAGTTCATGAACACCGTGTCATCATTTCTGCATTTGTACCACTGACTGCCACACTTTGTAACGGGATGCTAGCTGAACACACTCATTCTGTGTTAGGCATTATTCCATTTTGGGCTACACTTGTCACTCTGAAATAAAAAGAGAAATTTACAATGAAATTCTGATACTTAAGGGATCACGATATATTTTGTTTCATGCAAATGTGTTCATATTAACAAAAGTTATAAGTAATTTTCAACAGGGAGTTTCTTTCCACCCACTGTACAGATTTATAATGTTGCTTATATATTAATAATTGTGTTTGAATTTTCTGAACTTTCTTTGATTCTGTTGTTTGTAAAATGAAGTCTTCTTGTAAATATTTTGATCTATTGTAACTTTCAAATTTCAATGAGCCAATCAATTTGTCATATATTTTGTTACATATTAACTCTTTGAAGCTTTACTCTTTTGAAGTATTAATATCTCTGTGGTGGTTCATTTTTATTACCACCTTTTTATCTTTATTTTTGTCAGAGCATATAGGTTTACATTCCTTTCTACCATTTTTTTTAGTACCAGTTCAGATTGGAAGAAAAAGAAATATGGCTCAAAGAGGTTGAAAATTTATATTGTCAATTAAAATATATCTGAACGAAAAATAACACAAATCAAAATATGAATACAGAAGCATTGAAGATGAATATTATTATCCTTGAAAACATTCTTTGATCCTGGAAAATCTTTAAAAAATTTAAGAGTTGAAAATTAACATCTTTGCAATATTGTAAAATTTAAACAATGGTCCTTTTCATTTTGTAAATCCCTTTTCATGTCATTTTTGGATATTTCTTAATTTTTAATATTGGCTCTTGTCAAGTTTGACTAATGAGCTTGTTGGACTGAATAAAGTAGTTATGGGAAAGTGATTTGCCCAAGTACTTATTCACCACTGTCTTCTCTTCAGTCATCATGATATTTGGCAGTGACTGAAAGGAGAAGTTGATTCATGCCTTTCCCAAGGAAATCAATGCAAAATGAACATAAACAACTTCAGTTTAAATTCAAAAATTGCTCAATTTCTAATATATTTTAATAATAATTTATTGACTTATTTGTAGAGTAAATCATTGAAATTAAAGCAGTAATGGCACCTACCCTGAATCCATCATAAAAATTCAGGAGGTGGAATTAGTAATATTCAGTATAGGAGATAAGGAAATTGAACCTAGAATAGGCTGCACTACGAGTAGTTTTGCCCAACATCGCAAATTTCTACAAAGCCAAAACATTAACCTAAAATCTAGAGTCATGATCTTAAATAGCTTCAGTCTATCAAGACTTTTATGTGGATATCATGGATGGCATCAAACTTATTCAGAGATATCAAAACTGTCAGATATATACAAATACCTTCTCAAATCAATAGTTAACACCTTTGAGCAAATGAATCCTGTTGGTTTTAGCAAGGACTATCATCCCTTTTTGAACCTTGTGGACTGGCACTACAGAATCAAAAACAAAGAATTGTTCCAAACAAAAGAAATCAACTCACTTGAGAATTTTCAATAGCATCAACAACTAAAATGGATAAAAAGTGATGATAATGACATAATCAAGATTTTGAAGTTGCACATTACTTCAAATAAAAGGTTAGAAAGTAAGCCCCAATCAATAATGGAAAGCACAATAACATTGGACTTGACAAGCTTATTTTCCTGAAAAATCATTTTAAGAGAAAGATTTGATAAAATCCAGCTGAATGTAACTGCTCGTTCAATGAATACCAAACGTTTCCTTATAAAGAAATGTGTATTATTACCATTTCCAATTAAATTATTCTGTAATTTTCTATGAATTTTTTTTGTTTTGTTTTTAGTTGTAATCATTTTTTATGTTAAAAATTAAAAATAAGAACTCAGATATGTCTAACAATAAAAATAAATTCTTGATAAACATAATGTACACTTCTTAAAACTCCTTTTCTTCATAAACTAACCAATTCTTTTCTCTTTTTTTTTCAGTTTTGATGACAGCAGTTCGATTAGCAGTGGAGACATCAGTGATACCATTGCAGAGATTAGTACTGATGAAAACTTGACTGGGGGTTCTAATTGCTCCGATAACACCAACCCCTATAGCAGCTTGAAACGGGCACCGAAGGAGGGTTCCCGCTCTTTGATAAATGGTACTGTACCACTGACTAGTAAACGTTTTGGGGCAGGAGGACCAGGAATCTTGTCTTCCGACTACCAGTGCCCTAGCTACCTTGCTTCCAGTTGGCGAAAGTATTCCTTACAGCAGAACAAACCCTATGCCGCCTCTGATTCTGGGGATTATGCGTATGTTTATAGTAGCTTTGACCACGCACACTGGCGAAAGCCTGATGGGTCAGTGGGGCCGCTGAGGAAACTGTCCAGCGTCAGCACGTCTGACCTTGGCATCAGTCTGCACACTAGCTCTAGCTTTAGTGAAAGTGACCATTATTCTTTTAAGAAAGACTCAGAGACCAACACAGATCAATCGTGTCTAATGGAGGCAAGCATGAAAAAGGTGCAGCATAATGGCCGCAATGGAGGAGGTGGGGGTGGCAACGGCGGTGGTGGTAACAATGGCAATGGTGGAGGAGGGAGTGTAAACAGTTATGGCTACAGACGTCCTCTCAGTAACGCCAGCTCGTCTTCAATCGGCAGTAATAAGAGCAACAGCTCTAAAGATTCATGCCCTGGCAGCAGAATGATTAAACATGGTGACCGTTCTTCAGACGGACGCAATGGGGGTTATGAAGTGCCCATAACATCAATCCCACGCCCGGGCAGTGCCCCCAAGCCAAGTGGCATGTCAATGTCTGATATGGGACCCGAGGCCTACAGCAACACAACATTGGAAAGAAGAAAGAAGTCGGGCGGAAATATCAACAAGTCGACAAGTTCATCTCAGACCGATTCTGAGTTGTACAAGTCGAATACGCTGGGAAGAAAGATATTTGGTAGCCGTAACAGTTTGAGTAATAAAAACGGTGAGGCTTTATGTAACAGTACAATTATTTCAAACCCTCATGCCACCTATAGCAAACACGATACATCTGGCCGTCCGTACACTCCTCAGAATCAATGTCATCAGGCTTACTCAAACTATATTTCCTTAGAATATGCCAGTCCACGGCATTCTGGTTCTGCTAATAGCCCTTGGCTGAAAAACAGCAATGGAAACTTGAGTTCCATGAGCCACCATAGTCCTATGCAAATGTCTGAGACAGAGAGCATGGAGTCTATCTCTTCCACGGCTTCCAGTATTCAAGCTCAACTTCAACAGGCCCGGGCCCTGAGCAGTGCCAATTCTCGTATCTTGGCACATCAGATGGCTCAGAGCCCCAATATGGGCCTGCATCGCTCTAATAGTATCAGGTCCACGCAATCCGAATGTCTCTACTCTAGCAATCAGCACACAATTTCAGAGGATCTGACACGTACAAATTCATACTCCCAAATCAACAGTCCACACGACCAGCCTTCGTCCCCTACACCAAGCAATAGCTCGCACTCATCATCCCGCTTCACCTATCCCATGACTGCTTACAATCCCAGCATGCTAAGCCAGAGTTATACGCAGAATATGGTACGATCAAATACACAGTCCAGCATGCCTTACAGCAGCCTTGCCTTGTCCAAGATCAGCAAAGAAGAGGATGCTAGCAGTGAGTATCAATCATTATTCGGCTTTTTTCCTCTGACATCACTTCCTTCATTGTAAGTACCTGGATTACAGAAAAGACTAACAGATACCATGGCTGATTCTGACTCCTATAATGCTTAAATCTATCCTGCTGTAGACCTCTTTATTAGATATTTGGGCACTCTTTAACCTTTGTGCCAGCAAAAAAAAATGGTGACCACTGCTATTATTTTAACTACTTTCACTCTTTGGCAATGTTTATTGTTTTAAAAAGCAATGGTTAGATTTTTAATAAAATCTAAATATATAAAAGTGAATTTATACATTTTCTTTGGTCTTGAGAATTGACAACAAAAATATCAAACACTATTTATTAGATTGTTTATTTTGTTTTATTTTTTTAATCATTTCACCCCATGCATGTCAGTGAAGCTAGTATGACACAAGAGGTTACTGGGTGTGAAAGAACAAGAAAAAAAAGAGAAACATTAGAGAATGAAAAGAATAGAAGACAGTAGATAGGGATTGACATTACATTTAAATTTTTGAAGATCAAAATGTGTTAGAAAGCTAGAAGAGAGTTCCACAAATGAGAAGTGCTAGAAAAAAAACTGTTAGCATAGAACTTACAGTTACACCTAGCCAGCTCAACTGTGAAATGATGAGACCTTGCCACCAATTTAGTACTGCACTTAATTTCACAAAGTCATAGCAAAGAGTTTATCAATAACCATGAAAGTATTTATAAAAATGGCATAGGGAAGCTACATTACAATGGTGGGAAAGTGACTGAAGCTGAGATGCCAAGTCAGGACCAATAATATTGCTGATTCTTCTTTGGATTTTATCAAGAATCTCCAAACATAAAACGGGAGCACCAGACAAGATGTGGCAGCAGTATTCAAAGCATGGATAAATGGTACACTTATAAATAAGCAAAACAGATTCTAGAGAGAAAAATTGTCTAGCATGACACAATGAGCAGATTTTTCTTAGCATGTAAATTATTTATTTATTATAGTGTTTATTGGAATGGTTGGCAAAACATCAGCTAATTAACAAATGATTCAAACTTTATAAAATGGTAAATAATAAGGATTTCTTTAATAAAAAATTTTCATATTTGTTTCTTTATAAATTGGTAAATGATAAATATTGCATTAGTTTTAATATAATTGTATTAGTTTTTAGAGTGTTGTAAATATATAATATTTAATATTTTTGTTGTAAATTCTCAAGAACAAAAAAATGTATAAATTAACTTTCATTATATGTTCACATTTAATAGCAATTCTAATCGTAACTTTTTAAAACAAAAAACATTGTCAAGGAGTGAAGATAGTTAAAATAATAGTGGTGTCAAGGAAAAAACCGCCCTTTTAACATACTGCTTTTTTTGTGGACATGAAGGTTAAAGATTGCCAACATTAGATTGTTGTTGAAATTTTATTTTCACTGTTACACTCATAATCTTTTCTTATTTTTAATTATTAAATAGACTCATATAAGGAAGGGCTCCTGAATTAAATTGTTCTACAAAATTAATCCATTAACTCTATTAGACCTTATGAGTTTTCAGTTGTTCAATTACCAGAATCCTGACCAAATTTTTGAAAATTCTGAATATCTTAGTGCAATTAAATTAGTACATCTCAAAAGCCATTGAAAATCAAGTACAACAAGTTGATTTCATATGAAAGGAAATTGATTTCTATCTACATTATTCGGACTATTGTCCTTATCTTTGTCGCCATATTTATTACTATACTATTATTATTTATTGTAATAAATATAGCAATAAAGATGAGGACAATAATCCAAATAATGTAAATACTGTACATAATACCTCATCTCAGAAATATGGACAGATACTAAATTGATTTCTCTTTCAAATTTAACCTCCTTACGGGTTATGAGACATGGTTTGGGAATTCTACAACTTTTACAAAGTTCTACATTTCAAAAAGTTATGGATTTCCAGCACTTCTAACTGATCATATGACAATGCAGCATTACCCAATTGCAGGCACATCCAGTCACATCTCTCACAGACTGTAAACATGTGAATCTTGCAAGCACATTTGGATGCTTCCAGCCTTAAAGATTTAACTGTTTTAAAAACTGCCACCATTCACAGTTGAGCCATAGAACTGCAATGACAGAATTTCCTATCGTTCACAGTTAATAAACTAACCACACAAGATAGGAAGTTGTGGATAGCTATGATTACCTGTCCTGAAAGTACACAACATGCAGAAGAAGAATACAGAGTGTAATATAATAAAGAAACAATTCATATAGACAAAATACAGTGTGTATCCATATATGTGTTTTGTCTGTCTAACACTTTTTTACATCACCAGAAGAGTCTATCTCATGTTATTTCCAACAGAAATATTGGATTAAAAAGACTCTTAAATTGTAACTGATAGATAAATAAAACTTTAAAGTTTTATGTTTTAATACTATGAATACATTCTTTCTTCTACCAAATATTGGTTAAATAGCAGGACATAATGAGCTCTTCAGCCTTGGTAGGCAACTAGTCTAAGAGAAGGACAACTCTGAATTCAAAATCAGTTGGGCATGGAGCCAGCAACTCCATATCCCATAAAAATTTGCTTGCTGCATCAACCACAGCAGGGACACCTAATGTGTTAAGAGCTGTGGCTCTATACTCCTAAGTTTGAAGAGAGTTCCACAAGCAAAAAAAAACAAGAAAAGAAATTGTTAGTATAGAACTTATGGTTAAATCTAGCCATTTCAACTGTAAAATGATGGGACCTTATTGCCAATCTAGTACTGCACTTAAATTCATAAAGTCTAGTTACCATAGAGGAAAGTTCATCAGAACAATTATCATGAAAGTATTTTTAGAAATGGTGCAGGGAAGCTACACTACAGTGATGGGAAAGGGACTGAAATTTTTTATTCCAAAATTTGACTTTCTTTTGACAGATATTGTCCCAGTAACAAATTTCCCATAGTATGTGAAATTCTTTCAAAATATTACTAATAACTACTTTATCATATATACTCTGATAGCTATAATTTTATTGTTATATTAGTAATTACCTTTAAGGCCTTTACTTATGAATCACAATAGCACTTAATTTTTTCTGTAGCCAATCAAGATTCATTCGACTCAAAATATAATCTATGAGTGTAACAGTCTAAATAAGTGAGTTTGCAACAATAATTCCCAATTCCTGCTCCTATAATTACCATAGAATGTTTGATATTAGTTTACTGAAAATTCTTTAGGAGTTCATACTTTCCACCCTGAGACCATCTTTTTGCATGTATTGTTCATAAAATGTCAGTTATTTGAAATAATCAGAACCTTAGAAAGTCCTATTGTCATATAACTGGAAATTTTCAATCAATGTCTAGAAAAAGTCTAAATTATAATGTTATTTGTTATTTGCTGGGCAAGTTTGACTTTGACAAACAGCAGCATTTCTAATACTTTTAATGGCTTAAGGAATTAAGATGTTATTATAAAACTTTGAGTGTGCCTATATCAGTTGTATCCTTCTTTGATATGGAACTCAGTACAGTGCGGTGTGCTTTATATAAGCTTTCCATAAAATCTCAGATATCAGAGCATATACAAACACTACCATTTAAATTGAAGTGAAGAAGTTTTGTCTAAGAAACAAAAACCAGCATAAAATAATTGATATTCCTTTTTAGTCAGAAAATAGAAGTGATCATAGCATGAGACATAACATGGGGTTCCATTTTGGTTCAATTAAACTTGGAAACCTTTCATGTCAGAACTGGAAAAATCATTGTTATTCTGTAAAAATTGTTAATGCAATATTCACTCACGAAAAATAAGAATTATTCTTACAATCCCAAATATATTTTGGCTTTAAATAACCCAGAAAATGTAGATAAGCCATAAAAAGCAAATTAATCATTCAATCAATTTCATGTCAAAATTTAAGTGTCTTTATAAAAGATATTGTTTGAAGAAATAATTTCCATAGTATTTAAAATCCTTTTGAAATCTTACCAAGAATTACTTTATGATACACACACTCACATATACATATATACAGTATGTGCAAAGAGTTTAACAGTTATTTGCATGGAAAGTGGAATTGCCAAGCTGAGTTCAAATTCTGCCCACTTCTGTTTCACTCACTTTACACTAATACTCTTTGAAAAGGTATAACTCTATCTACCTCCAGCTATGGATTAAATAGTAGAGCAGATTGAGCTCTTTTGCCTTGGTTGGAAATCACTGTAGGAGAAGGACAACTGAAGTTAAAACCTGAGATGGCCTCTTTGGAGACTTCATACACTGTTTCTCTGTTATCATTTCTGAAAAGTGTGGATGGTTCTACAGAAGCTTTGACCATTATGATCAAATGTATGGCTAATCTAGCAGCTCATTTCTAAACTAAACTGTTGAGCCCTTATACATCTAAATTGAGTCCACTATATATATATATATATATATATATATATATATATATATATAAAAAAATCCCTAAGTATTTACTGCAAAAATGGTTGGTGTGGTAAAACATTAAGAAAAAGGTTCTTATGATGTCATTATTCCTTGTGCACTTCATATCCCCATTTCTTGCCTAAAACCTTTTGTTGTAGCTTAGCTTTTGTAGCAACATTAGAGTTTCTTTCACTTCTCCCTCAGCTATTTTCCTGATTTCAAATAGATGTAAAGTCACATTTTATTGAAATTGTTTGATCTTTTCCTCTTTTTTGTATTATATTTTTGTTTATTTTATTTTCTGTTTTTTCTATCTGAAAATATATTTGGAGAAAATGAAGATTTTCTTCTCCTTTTATGCCATTATCTTATTTTTTTTAACAGACTAATTTTATTTATCTATTTTTGCTGTTTTGGAAATTTTTGTCTGAAAGTGCCAAGTTGTTTGTATCTAATAATTGAAATACACCCACATTTGACCTCTAGGAGTAGATTACTTTTTTGTTTTGTTTTGTTTTTTTCAATTCTATTCTTCACCCAATACAAAGCCCAAGAGCCAC